TGTGAGCCCCCCCCCCCCTTCAAATCGATCTCTTATGTGCAATGATTCTGTCCATGAAGTTGAATCATTATGTAATTGATTGACAGAAGCTCTCAAAAGATTCTGGGATTTCAGGTTATAACCCTTGGAATCTCTGGTTTCTTTTGAGGATTGAGCAGTGTTTATGTTAGTCTACTCTTCTCTTTCGCCTGTTGCAGACGCTGGAAAAGGTCACGACTTTTCGATATTTTCGGAAAGATCTGGGCGAGAGACCGCGGGCACGGTACCTTGGTGGTGAACCTCCGCTCCGATACGGGCATTGAAGAAGAGTTCAGATCGGAAACTACATCTTCATGAACAGAGAGAGACACATCCCTTGAAAAACTGGTATTGCTGTTCTTGATTGATCTTGCACTACTTGGGATTTCTTGCTCAAATCCTTCACTTGTCATTTATTTTAATTGTATTTGTATGGAATTACATTCCACGGAACGATTTAAAGAAAAGTGGAGGATAATGCAAGAGAAGAAAACCCTTATTGGTGAAGGGATGAGGTTCACAGCCAAGGGGAGTTGTGAAGTGGGGTGACTACGGATTTGACGTGAAGGTAACTGTGGAGAGCCTCCAAGCCGCTGTCTTGGCCGACGCCGCTCATCTTGTAGCCGCCGAAGGGACAGTCCACGTCGAACCCGTAGTAGCAGTTCACCCATATCGCACCCGCTCTTATCGACCTCGAAACCCTGTTCACCAAATCTATGTTCTTGCTCACGATCCCTGCTGCCAACCCGTACCTCGTGTTGTTCGCCATTTCGATCCCTTCTTCCACCGTCCTGCGGCAAACCACGATTATCGAGTTGCGAAAGGGTAGAGGAGGAGAAGGCGTAGAGGGTTTTGCTTACTTGAACTTCATCAGGGACATGACTGGGCCAAATATTTCGTCTTGGTATATCTTCATATCCTCCTGTGATCAGTTTGATTTCCGACATCATTGTCAAAAGAGAACGAACTCGGGTTCGGGTTAGAAAGAAAAGAGAGATATGAGTAGTTACCGTGACATCAACGAAGATCGTCGGCTCGATGTAGTATCCTTTGTCGCCTATGGCATTGCCGCCGCATAGCAGCGTTGCTCCTTCTCGCTTCCCCTGATCGATGTAAGAGAGGATCTTCTCGAATTGCCGCCTACCCACCTGTGCAAAAACCAAAATCAAATGAACCTCAGACGTGGCATCGCCTACCGATTGGAGTGTTTGGGAAATAGAGGGGGGTCGTACTTGTGGTCCTTGGCGAGCAGTAGGATCAAAAGTGTCACCGACTGTCCAATCTTTCGCCTTCTCGACTAACTTCTTCACAAGTGAATTGTATACACCTTCTTGGACGAAGACTCGAGAGCTCGCCACGCAAACCTCTCCCTGAATCCGATCCGATTCACGAGTAAAGTAGAATTACACTAACTGAAAAAACCGATAGTAGTTAAAGGCGAGGTGGATTTTAACATCAATGACCTTGTTGTAGAAGTTACCGAGGAGGGCGAGATCTACAGCTTTGTCGATATCAGCATCGTCGAATATCAAAAGAGGCGATTTCCCTCCTAATTCGAGCGAGACGTCCTTCAAATTACTAGCCGCAGCCGCCTGCATTATCTTCCTGCCGACTTCGGTCGATCCCGTGAAGCTAACCTGATGAAAAAGAATGTAAGAATCTCGGCCAACCCCCTGAACAGTTAACTTCGATACAAATTCCCGAGTTTTATTGCACGGATCATACCTTGTCTATGTCCATATGGGAAGAAATTGCAGCTCCGACTGTTGGACCAAACCCGGTAACAACGTTGATCACACCATCAGGAATCCCCGCCTGATCTCGAGAACGATCGAACGAAATGGAGAATTTTCAACTCCACAAGCTCTCTAATTGATGAAAGCGTGAAGGATTCTAAGCTCGGAAACGGAGATGGAGACTTACTTGATTAGCGAGGTGGGCATAGAACAGAGCCGAGAGGGGAGTCTGTTCCGCGGGCTTTACCACCATGGTGCAACCTGCGGCCAAGGCAGGAACCACTTTCATGGCGAAGATTATGCTCGGAAAATTCCACGGGGTGATGATTCCGACCACTCCAATAGGCTCTTTGAGAGTGTATCCGAACAAAGAAGGACGGGTCATCTTCAACACTTCACCGTGGATCTTATCCGCCGCGCCGGCGTAGTACCTTAACCGACCCGAAACCGCTGGGATATCCATAATTTTTCCCGTTTCGAAGAGTTTTCCGGCGTCCACGGCATCCAAAAACGCCAATTCCTCGATGTTCTGGTCGATCAAATCCGCGAATCTGTGCATTAGTCTGGCCCTCTCCTGATCATATGATCGCTGGTTAGCCATCCATATGGGACACATAGTGAAACTGAACTTGAAGAGTTACTTTATTAGTCTAAACCAACATGCAAACATCACAAATCTATCAGCTGTGTTTCTTCTTAATGTTTTTTTTTTCAGTGTTTCTTCTTAATGTTGTATACATGCTTCCAGATTTTGCAACCCACTGTGTTTATACGGTGTATATGTATATGTATGTATATATGTATATGTATGCGTACGGATCCGGTCATGCGAGGCCAAGGTCCATGATCAAAGGCGAAGCGAGCAGCTTTGACGGCCAAGTCAACGTCTTCTTTGTCTCCCTCTGCGATCATGGCGATCACTTCCTCATTCCTCGGATCGACCGTCTCGAATGTTTTCCCTTTTCAGTTTCAGACAAACGACGAAACCAATCATTCAGACAATCAAGATCAAACCCAGTTATCATCAGGAGGAGATCTTATGTAAGATTTCATCATACCAATCTAATCTCTCTGTGACTGAGTAACCAAGGTGGTGGAATTAAGAGATATATAGAGGGAGAGAGAGAGAGACCTGAAACGGCGTCGCAGAAGTTGCCGTTGATGAAAAGCTTCGTGAACTTGATCACCGGCGACCTCGCCGCGGTGCCGCCGTTGCATTTTCCGTTCTCCATCTCTCTCTCTCTCTCTCTCTGGAACTGCAGATGCATGGTGAGATATTAATCGAGAGCATTAGAATATAATATGTTTGCTAAATGCAGCTTTAGTCTTTATTTCGTGCCAGTTGTCATATTTGTTCGTTACAAGCAAATTCTGGTCCCACCTAAATGACACTTTTTCCCTCCGACGACGCGCTTTATTTAAAAAGTTAAATGCGATTAGTGCATTAAAAATATACAAATTACGTACTGCACTGAAATTTTCTATAATAAATATGTGTTTGTTTTGTATTTATCTTTCTTTTTATATCTACCCTTATATTAAAATATAATCTCAAGAAAGAGCCTTCTAATATATTTATTTATGCGATGGATATGTGGATAAATGGAGTTGTTCGTAATAAAAGAATAAGCACGATATCAAATTCGAAGATTTCTTTTAGTGTGTTCTTTGCATTACTCTTGACGTCTATATATTATTTCATCAAAGATTAAATTTTGGAAATTAATCATCAAAACTTATACAAGTTTTTTTTTTAAATGTCTAAAAAAATCGTATTGATTTGCAAAAAAAAAAAATTGAAGCATATGTTTTTAGGAAATATCCAACAAAAAAGAACTCAATGGGGTCACGTGCTCTTTTGTGCTCATCATTCTCGTGTATGATATCAATTTAATATTTGTTTTGGATTTTTTTTTTAAAAAGTCTGCTCGTAATACGTATATATACACACAAACTCATTTTTTTTTTATTGTATGTGTATGGGATTACATTTCACGGAACGATGCAAGGAAAAGTGGAGGAAATGCAAGAGAAGAGAAGAAAACCCTGATTGGTGAAGGGATGAGGTTCACAGCCAAGGGGAGTTGTGAAGAGGGGTGACTACGGATTTGACGTGAAGGTAACTGTGGAGAGCCTCCAAGCCGCTGTCTTGGCCGATGCCACTCATCTTGTAGCCGCCGAAGGGACAGTCCGCGTCGAACCCGTAGTAGCAGTTCACCCATATCGCACCCGCCCTTATCGACCTCGAAACCCTGTTCACCAAATCTATGTTCTTGCTCACGATCCCCGCTGCCAACCCGTACCTCGTGTTGTTCGCCATTTCGATCCCTTCTTCCACCGTCCTGCGACAAACCACGATTATCGAGTTGCGAAAGGGGAGAGGAGGAGAAGGGGCAGAGGGTTTTGCTTACTTGAACTTCATCAGAGACATGACCGGGCCAAATATTTCGTCTTGGTATATCTTCATATCATCCTGTGATCAGTTTGGTTTTCCGGCATCATTGTTGAAAGAGAACGAACTCGGGTTCGGGTTCAAAAGAAAAGAGAGATATGAGTAGTTACCGTGACATCAGCGAAGATCGTCGGCTCGATGAAGTATCCTTTGTCGCCTATGGCATTGCCGCCGCTTACCAGTGTCGCTCCTTCTCGCTTACCGTGATCGATGTAAGAGAGGATCTTCTCGAATTGTCGCTTATCCACCTGAGCAAAAACTAAAGGCAAATGAACCTCGAACATGGCATCGCCTACCGACGGGAGTGTCCGGGAAATAGAGGGGGATCATACTTGTGGTCCTTGACGAGCAGTTGGATCAAAAGTGTCACCGACGGTCCAATCTCTCGCCTTCTCGACTAACTTCTTCACAAATGAATCGTATACACCTTCTTGGACGAAGACTCGAGAGCTCGCCACGCAAACCTCTCCCTGAATCAAGCCGGATTCATGATTCGGTAGAATAAAATGGAATGAACTAACTCAAAAAACCGATGGTAACGTTTAGAACCTTGTTGTAGAAGTTACCGACGAGGGCGAGATTTGCAGCTCTGTCGATATCAGCATCGTCAAATATCAAAAGAGGCGATTTCCCACCTAATTCGAGCGAGACGTCCTTCAAATTACTAGCCGCAGCCGCCTGCATTATCTTCCTGCCGACTTCCGTCGATCCCGTGAAGCTAACCTGATGACAAAGAATGTAAGAATCTCGGCCAAATCCCTGAACGATACACTTCGATACAAATTCGCGAGTTCTATTGCACGGATCATACCTTGTCTATGTCCATGTGGGAAGCAATTGCAGCTCCGGCTGTCGGACCAAACCCGGTAACAACGTTGATCACACCATCAGGAATCCCCGCCTGATCTCGTGAAAGATCGGACGAAATGGAGAATTTTCAATTCCACGAAAGTGATGAAAGCGTGAAGGATTCTAAGCTCGGAAACGACAATGGAGACTTACTTGATTAGCGAGGTTAGCATAGAACAGAGCCGAGAGGGGAGACTGTTCCGCAGGCTTGACCACCATGGTGCAACCTGCGGCCAAGGCAGGAGCCACTTTCATGGCGAAGTTTGCGCTCGGGAAATTCCACGGGGTGATGATTCCGACCACTCCAATCGGCTCTTTGAGAGTGTATCCGAACAAACAAGGACGAGTCATCTTCAGAACTTCACCGTGGATCTTATCCGCCGCACCGGCGTAGTACCTAAACCGAGCCGAAACCGCCGGAATATCCACCATTTTTCCCGTTCCGAAGAGTTTTCCGGCATCCACAGCATCCAAAAACGCCAATTCCTCGATGTTCTGGTCTATCAAATCCGCGAATTTGTGCATCAATCTTGCCCTCTCCTGATCATTGATTAGCCATCCATGGGATAGTGAAACAGAACTTGTCACCACAACGAACTGTGTTTATACGGTGTATATGTATATGTATATTTATATGTATATGTATGCATACGGATCCGGTCATTCGAGGCCAAGGTCCATGGTCAAAGGCGAAGCGAGCAGCTTTGACGGCCAAGTCAACGTCTTCTTTGTCTCCCTCTGCGATCATGGCGATCACTTCCTCGTTCCTCGGATCGATCGTCTCGAATGTTTTCCCTTTTCAGTATCAGACAAACGACGAAACCAATCATTCAGACAATCAAGAACAAACTCAGTTATCACCAGGAGGAGATATCTAATGTAAGATTTCATCAAGAGAGAGAGGGAGGGAGAGAGACCTGAAACGGCGTCGCAGAAGTTGCCGTTGATGAAAAGCTTCGTGAACTTGATCGCCGGCGACCTCGCCGCCGTGCCGCCGTTGCATTCTCCGTTCTCCATCTCTCTCTATCTCTCTCTCGCTCTGGAATTGCAGATGCACGTACGGTGAGATATTGAGAGCATCAGAATATATAGTATATTTGTACATCCATAATGCCAGCTCAGCAACGTTAGTTGCGGACGGTTAAATGAATGTTGCCATGTTTTGGAGCAAGGTTCATCTTCTCCAGAAGCAGTGTTCGTTATGACAGTTTTGGTTTTGTATCAGATTGTATATAATTAAACATGAAAATGGCGATCATTTCTCTTTCTCTCTACCTCCATTGTTCACTGCAACACAGAGTTCTTTGTTTAACTGCGGGGTCCACCTAATTGGCACCTTTTTCCCTCTGATGATTCCCTTAATTTAAAAAAAATAAATAAATGTGGTTATTGTATTAAAAAACTATATAAATTACTGCACGAAAATATGTAATTTGTTTATATATATTTCTTTCTTTTTTTTATCTATCCTTATGTTATAATATACTCTCTCTCAAGAGCTTTCCAATATATTTATATATGCGCTGATTATTTTTCTATGGCCTCTCGGTTTATATGTGGATAAATGGAATCGTTCATAATAAAAGAATAAGAATGTTATCAAATTTGAAGATTCTTTTTTGCATTACTCTTGACGTCTATATTATATATATATATATACTATTTCATCAAGATTAAATTTTGGATATTAATCATAAAAACTTATAGTAGTTTTAAAAAAATTCAGCTTTTCTCTCTCTCTAAAAAATCGTATTAATTTGCAAATAAAAAATATTATTTTTAAAGCATATATTTTTAGGAAATATCCGACAAAAAGGAACTAAATGGGGTCACGGTGCTATTTTGCGTTCAATCATTATTGTGTAGGGTATCAATTTAACATTTGTTTTGGATTTTAAAAAAAATGTCTTTGCATACAGCAAAACGACAAGAACCGCTGTTACTTGATGTTTAAACGAAACTCGTGATTTTGGTTGCTTATAATTCCACCAAAAGACTTGGTCTTTGCTAAATAATCTCAATCATAGAGACATTTTTTTTTATATTTTTGCAGTACTTTTCCTGTTGGATTTTGTCGAATTTCGATATGATTTTTTGGATAAATTTTAATTTTAGATAATAATAATAATAATAATAATAATAATAATAATAATACCCCCGTGACAATTTTTTTAAATTTTCGTACTTAATGTATATTTTTTAGCATGTACACTTGACAAAGCGGAAGGGTACAATGTATACCAATTAAATATTTTAGTTGAACCAGCTCATGCCATATTCCAATTGGCTTGACCGAGAAAAACTCGAACCAAATTAAAATTGAATCCGTTTTGTTCGATTTAGTTAAACCCGCATCTGGGGACATTCCAATATACTAAGGTGTAAACCGAAATCAAAGCTCAAAACATGGTTCAGTGTTGAAGTGTTTGAATTCAAGCTCTTAATCTCTGCTTTCCATTTCTTCTCCTTGTCAATGATAGTCTACACCTTGAAGAGCCTGTCTCTTCTTCTTCTTCTGCACTATCATCACTATCTAGAACAACACTGTCTTCAGCCACCATCGATGTTTCTTCCAAAACCCGGTCCGAGAAATCTCCACACAAACTTTTACAATATTGCTTTCGATTCGATCCTGTTTCCTCGCTGGAGATGCTCACATTTCGACCAAGGAGCCTGTCATTACCAGCGTTGTTCATCTGCAACAATCCTAGAGGTCTCAAGCACAGTTTCTGGCTAATGATGTCGTCACTTTTTGCACCAAAAGTTTGTGCCTTTGAGGCTGCGTTCCCGTTTTCGCTGCCTTCTCTTCCTCGTTTTACGGACAAACATTTCAATCCCAGCGAAAGCTTCTTGACTACTGGATTATGTTCTACACGGGTAGCTGAATCTCCATGTGTGTTTGATCGTCTTTGATGCATAGGTAAAGACATACCTGAGGAACCAACTGTCTCTTTCTGGATACCTGGAGATAGATTAGAACCTGAGTTCATGTCGTGTGTGGACAGTTCGTTGCCAGAATTATCCTTCTTCTGAACTTGGGCAGACAAAGCAAGAGAAAGTTTTCTCCTGCTCGTTTGTACCCTGTTGTTACCTAGATCACATGCACCTATAGCTGCTTTTCTTTTCCCATTTGAATGTGCTTGGTGTCCAGAATCTGAGAGAAAAGTTTGGTGATCTTGTACGTCATCTGCTGTCATATGGAAGTTTTGTGTACGGTTTATGCTCGAGAATCCCACTGAAAACTCGCCTGGCTTTGGGTGACCATCAGCCGGATTGTTGTCCTTTGTTTCAGAAGCATTCCCACCTCCATGAATCTGCATAAGAAGCTTAAACTTTAGGAAAAACTGGCATTGATTATCTCTGTAAGAGAAAAGATATTTCGAGCTTAATCAGGAACGTAATTTTTCATTTGAATCCACGCAAGATGAAAGCTATAAAAGAATCGAACAGCGAGCTGCTCACTTTAACACTGCCTGTATTGGGACTGTTCTGAATTTGGCTGCAGACACTGCTTCCAGCCACTTCAACCTTTGCATACTGCTCGGTCATAGCCCGTGCCTTCTGATCAAAAGCTTGTTTATTGTATTTGTACTCCCTACTCTGGAAAATGTCAGGCAAACACATGACAAATCTTCAAAACAATGACAACTCAATTCGAGCTTTTCGCATGTAAAAAACTTACCGCATCGCACATCAATCCATCATCCGGGTTTGGCTCACTCAGCAACAATCCTATACTTGTCAACACAGTTGAGATATTCAAAGATGGTTGCCAAGCACCCTGCCCATACCAGAAAACAAACTCTTATCGATCGAATTAAAGGCACTTAATGAAACTCTTCCTTACACACTTGGGTGTTCATCATTGCGGAATATATATCACCAAACACCAAAAGCAACAACCATACATTCTCTTCACAGCTACCACAAGATTTTCACGCTATAACAGCCAATAATGTGCCTTTAAAAAGTGTGTTTAGAAGAATCAAAATCAACAATGCAGCTTCTCAACAAAGAACAAACAAGTCACAAACCCGTCAGAGTCCAATACCCTGAAATCGTCAACAAGTCCAAGGGAGAAAGACCAAATGTATCCTGTCACCTTAGGAGGAAGATTAAGGATGTCGAGGCAAATTCGACCACCGCTATCAATGTTTGGGTGGTAAATCGGCGTAGAAAAGGTCACAATCGGAGGCTGAAATGGGTATCTGACAAAAAAGCAAAATCCATGATCAATAAAACCGAGTTCACGTAACAATACCCCCCCCCCCCCAAAAAAAAACAAACGGGTAGAAGCACGCACCCTGCCCATACCAGAAAACAAACTCTTATCGATCGAATTAAAGGCACTTAATGAAACTCTTCCTTACACACTTGGGTGTTCATCATTGCGGAATATATATCACCAAACACCAAAAGCAACAACCATACATTCTCTTCACAGCTACCACAAGATTTTCACGCTATAACAGCCAATAATGTGCCTTTAAAAAGTGTGTTTAGAAGAATCAAAATCAACAATGCAGCTTCTCAACAAAGAACAAACAAGTCACAAACCCGTCAGAGTCCAATACCCTGAAATCGTCAACAAGTCCAAGGGAGAAAGACCAAATGTATCCTGTCACCTTAGGAGGAAGATTAAGGATGTCGAGGCAAATTCGACCACCGCTATCAATGTTTGGGTGGTAAATCGGCGTAGAAAAGGTCACAATCGGAGGCTGAAATGGGTATCTGACAAAAAAGCAAAATCCATGATCAATAAAACCGAGTTCACGTAACAAACCCCCCCCCCCCAAAAAAAAAGCAAATCGTAGTAGCATCACCAGTTAGATCAAGAACAACAAGCGTGTTTTGTACAAATGAATAGTACCTATCAGGTATTTGAATCTTCAGATTGAAGATTCCATTAGCGTATACCGTGCCTTCAGGACCTTCGATCTCTGAAAAAAAGGCAAAAAAAACACGACGGTTAAAATCACTGATAAAGAAAGAGATACAATCCAATCAATCACGAGTATGGAGATAAAGCATACGAGCATCAATGGTGGACAGGACAGAGATATCGCCGGAGCCTGCGGCGGCGGAGGAGAGGCGTGGGAACGACGCGCCAGGAGGCGGGTCGGAGAGGAGTAGCTTGAGTTCTTTTTGCAATCTCAGACACAACCTCGCTGCTTGGGCCATGAGAGAGAGAAATCAAAGTGCGAGATTGTGGAAACTGGAGAGGTTCCGCTCTGATTATATCGAACGCCTGTGATTACTGATTTTCTCGAGAAACTCGAAATTTTCCGGGGAAAATGATTCGCGCGGGAGGGGAAACATTTTGGATTTGGGGATGGGGGAAGATCTGGACCGTTGAATTGTCAGATGAGGCTGACTGATCCGACGGCAAAGATATGATATCACAGCTAGCTTCACAGGTTGGGCCTTAAGCCTTAGACCGTAGTGGTGCAGTATGTCTATGTGAGCAAAAACAAAAATTATGGGGTCGGGTCGGTCCGAGTCCGTATTCGATCTGAAGGTTTTGGATTTGGGTTCGGACTTACCAGATTTTTTCGGGTCTATTTAGTTAAATCTAAAGTCCGGTTCTATATATTTCGGTACGATTCGCATAATTTCTATTGTAAATCTTAATATATTTTTTAAAATATCGAGTTTTCGCGCTAATCTAACTCGAATCCGAAGCTCGATTTGAGCCCAATCTAAAAACCTGATTTTGTTCGGATCAAGAAATTTAGATACGAAATCTGCTAATTTTTTGAATGGGTCAGACCGGATTTCAGGTCTCGAACCTAAATTGATACCTCAGTAAAAGACTACCAAAATATATAGGTCTATTTTTTTTGGTGTGTGTATATGTATAATTATCAATTACTAACAATAAAATTTAAAGGATGGGCAAAAATAGGGATAAAAAAAACTTGAATTATACGACATGAGTAGGATTCGATTTTGGTTACAAGAAAAACCCGGAAATTAGATTCGAGACGAATATTATCCACATATGCAGAATGGATAGTTAGATTATTATTCCAATATATTTAAATGAGTGACATACAAATCTAGCTCTTAATTCCGGATATTCATAAATATCTGAAAATTTTCTCGACTATCCGACCAAAATATCCAAAATCGAATAATATAGATTTGAGTTCAGATAATCCGAAAATCTCGAATATGTGCAGTGTTCGTACCAAAAGAGTACGGCTTGGAAGGAGGCTTTAGTTCACTTTTGTCCAAATCATATTTGAACTACTTAAAATCTATTTTCAGACATCTATCTATCTAATTCACTCACAACATTCTTAAAACATCTTTAATGTTTCCAAATGGTCAAGTTTTCTTTCTCTTCCCTTCCTCTGTTCTTGTAACCCAATCTGTTACAGATGAACAAAAAAACTTTACCTTGGTTTCTTTTTTGGTTGCATTTGGCTCGGGGGGAATCGTACCCGTCGTTTCAACGTCTCGAAGGAAGTAAAAACCATTGCTTCCAGGCCGCGTCTTTCTGCTGCTCGACCCACGAGAGGAAAGCGCTGTCTACTAAGCAGAAGATGTTGACGTACAGAAGCTGGTACCTCACCGGCACATACCGGAAATTGGCGATCTGAAGCAGTGGCCAGGCCCCGCCTTCCAGAACCAAGGCCGGGAGAAAATCCCTCTTCAGATCCTCTTTCACTTGGGTCGGGTTTTTTCCCGTGGCGAATCCCATGTAAGAGAAGAACGCTAGTAGATCGACCGGTCCGAAGATCAGGCCATCCATGGCTACTTTTGCAGCCACAAACCTTACTGTCTTCGGCTCATATAGAAGCCTCAGCTTTATAAATCTGTCTAATCCTTCATACCTGCGGGAAAAATACAGTAAAGAGGACTGAAATCGACGTTTGAACTATGCATTTCTCGGTAATGGGGAAAGATTCATAAGGAAACCGACCAGAAATGGCCAATGGGTCCGACAAAACCAAACCCGAACATGCTCGTGATGGCAACTCGCTTCCAGTTTACGTTGAATTCTGCATCTGCCTCTCCATCCGCATTCTGATATTACATACCATAGATTAGTGTCACTGTCTATCTCACGGTCACTAGCTATCTATATGATTATATCCTCCCAATATATGGTTAGAACTGAAAGCAACATACAATAAACTTATATAGAGTCTTGATTGCTGTAAATATACAGAATTTCTAGAGGTTTTGTCCAGAAAGTAAATGAAATCAATGACTCAAACCGGAACACCCCATCATGGAATTCATCACCATGAGCCATTGCAATAGATGAACTATCACACGGACGGATATTGCCCATGGGCAGGATTAGGGGAGTTCCAAGATATATATACCCAGGTTTCACAAAACCGCCAAAACTCATTCTTTGAATCATCAACCGAGAACGCAAATTTAACCTTCGATATCAGATGCTGTATGCATTCTGGATTCCTTAGTTCTAGTATTCCCTAATTCTACATTGCAGACCAGATTCCAAGGAACTTATACTGATGTAGAACATGCACTAACACACGAACCCTAATTCTTGGAAAAGACGATGGGAAGATTGGGAAACAAGAACAATGAAGAATGTCAAATCCGAATCGTATTCCATTGCGCTGCTAAACGATCACTGCCGTTGATTGTCGAAATAGCATTAGGGTTTAAACGCAGCCCTGCAAATTTCAATACATTCGTCGAGCCCTACCCGCGAAACCACGAACTGCATTATAGTCTACAAGCAGAAAAGTTTCAAGAAATCTGGAGATGCCCAGATGCCAAAATCGACTGCAATTCGATAAAATCAAACCCTCGAGACCCAGAAAATCGAAACAGAGAACTTATTCAACGGGACAGGAGCATTCAGAAACAAGACCCATGAACAGAAACCGAGATGGGAATCGATCACTCACAGGAATCCGATGGAGACGGCGTTGGGCGGTGGAGTGAGTGATGTACTGAGCGGTGACATCGCCAATGCCCCAGAGAAAACCCGAACTGATGACCTGCGTTTTCACCGGATGAACCGAAAGGCATCGCTGGTACCATCTCCACAGCTTCAACATTGAACGATCCACCCGGAGAGAGAGAGAGATCAGAGCTTCGTGAATGCCGCGGGAGAGGTATTGGCTTCGACTTCTATCAATCCCCAACTAATTTGAAACCAACCACAAAAAATCAAACTTGCCAACCCCTAACCCTACACATAAATCCGTCATTATATGAGGGGGCTTGAGAAGAAAAGTTGAATCGTGGTCGTCAAACGGGCTCCGTTACAATTTTCTCGATCCTCTGTAGCAGAGAAAGGGAAATGCGAATCTTTAACAAAAAAATATGAGAAGAAGAAGAAAAAGATAGTTCTTCTTGCCACTCGGTGTAGTTCTCCCTTGGTACATAATTGTTATTTTCTATAAAGTAATTTTAAATTTTAATTATTTTTATATTTTAATTAAAATTTAAAATAATTTTATATCAATTCAATTTATATCTGATTCAAATTAGATTCCATCATCTTCTCTCTCGTCAACCAAACCCTTGCATTCTCAATCCACCAAGCTCTTCTCCTCGAGTTAATGCATTGCAAAATCATCAAAAATCAGCTTTTAAACATTAAATCACCATTTCATAAATCCATAACCATTATTATTACATGAAATAATCATTTAAGTTCTTTGGTAGAAATAGAATGAATGGCTAAAAAATAGGAGAAAACCGGGAGGGGTTAATTAGGGTGGCCATTTCGGTTATTAACCGAATAACTGATCCGAACAGAATAAGATATAACCATAACCGAACCGAATCCGACATAAAAACTAAACGGTTATATTTTCTCTAAATCCAAAAAAACTAAAACCCAACCAAACCGATTAAAAAAATAAGTGAAAAAAACCGATAATTTCTTTAAAAATGAATTTTTTACAACAAAAAAACTGAATCCAAACCGAATCAAACAAAAAAATAATCAAAACGAACCGAACCGAAATTTATATAAAAATCGAATGATTATATTTTTTTATAACCGAAATAACCGAATCAACAAACAAAATGATCACTCCTAGAGTAAATAATAATATTATGACAGGATTCGATAAATCCTTAGCCCTTACATCTGCCGGCTGTGGTTATTTTCCATGAGAAGACACAAACAACGTTATTACACACTTCCCTCATCAGACATCTAAACTCAGAACATCAAACAAACCCTGAGACCGGAAATCAAAGTGAAACCAAAAAAAAAAAGGATCTAATCTCTTTTTTCTAATGAATTGGTATCAGTTTCTTTCCACTGTACGTCTACTTGTATCTGGTGCTCCTCTCGTCTCGACCGTAGACAGAATCGGTGGCATCGACATTCCTCCCGACACAACGATCTCTGCACGAGAGAAAAATCAACCAAACAACATTCGCAAACAAAACTGCACGTTAATCGTGCCCCGACTTAGCGATTCTCGAGTTCTTAATCCATTATCGACGATCATTTACCGGCAAGATTTGTGATTTAAGATGTTTCATGTTTCTTCTTGTTCAGTCAAAGGATCCATCCAACATTGGGATTAGAAATAATACAGAATGAATCAATGGGATCCTCACCTATTCCTTCCCGGACGGAGAGATTCGGTCTGATGACATCCTTAGTATTGACTAAGAATATATCTCCGATGTAGAGGTGGTTTGTGGGAACATATACACAACAGAGTTCCTCCTCCCCTGCGTAATTCTGAATCGAATAGTATTTCAGGTTATGTCAGAGACAGGTTTTCAAGAAAGAACAAAGGTTCTGGATTCGTAAAATCACGCCTCTCGGGTTCAAAAGAATGAAGAACTGAGCCAAAATGACTTTACTGACCTGAAGAACAACAGTAGATGTGATGAACCCAATAGCGTATTCACCAATACGTGGATGCCTAATGATAGCCACTTCCTTGAAGGCCTGGTTATTTTGATCTGAAATTCATGGCGAAATTGATATGAGATCATGACTCAACTCCAAGATTATTAAACTAAGATGATATGAACACTAATGTGAGACCTGGTGATATGGCAGTACTGATTTGCTTGGAGGCATTGTAGATATGGCGAACAAATGGCATCCGTTTGATAAACCATTCTCCCAGGCTTAGAACCGATGTCCCCAGCCACGAAGACATGAACACCCCAACCAAGAAGATGAACGTAATGGACGTGATAAAGCCAAGACCTTTAAAGCAAATCAGAAAAGGGCTGTTACCAAATGTTTTCCTACATCATCTTTTCAACTGTAGCACCATTTTTTCTTGCTTTCGAGATCGCAGGTATATCATGATTATCATCATATACCCACTAAGAAAGTTTTGTAAAAAAATCAGTGATTGCATCTGCATAAAGCTTACCGAAAACATTAATTCCTAGTTGAGCATATATCGGAGAGAAAAATCCATCCACGAAATGAATAAACCACCAAGTCACATAGAAAGTGATTGCCATCGGAAGCAGGATAACACTGCAGGGAGACTTGGGAGTGAGAATCTACTTCCAAATATTTGAGCAATAACACAGACAGAGAAAAACAGCAGCAATGGAGGATCAGCATTTTCATGCTTATCATGTTTATCATGTCACAGACATGGAAACAGAATCAATCATTCAGATATACAAACCATCCAGTCATGAACTTCTTCGACGCCCAGCTTCTGATTAACTTGTAGAAGGTCTACACATAAGATAAATCATTTTCAGGCAAAGAGGATCAAACCGCATTGCAGTTACAAGAACATCGAGCTTCAGTTCTCAGAAACATAAACCCATGTAATCGACATCATCCTGCCGGAAACAAAGCAAACCCAAGAATTTAGACATGATAATTGCATTAACTCGTTAATCCCTGGGCTCATATCCAATGACTCCACTGAACCATCTAAAAAACTCCATGGTTCTACAAGTAATCTACAGTAGTTGGTTAGTGCTGAAACATTGGTAGATCCTTGTTGCCAAAACCCTAATCAGATGGACTTAATGGAGAATTGCAGCAAACAAACTTCCGAGTTTGTGTAGGAAAAGAGCGAGATTACAAAAAACCGTAAACCCAAGTCCCGCAATTGGCCAAGTCCCAAGGATTCAGGGCGAAACCCAACATAAATCAATCGAAATCTAATTCCAAATTCACATAGAATTACAAAATCACCAACGAATAACCCTAATTAGGAGCATCGGAGAAAAAGCGGGGAATGTAACCTCGTGACCAGCGTGATGTGAAGAGGGACAAGAAGACGAGGGCTTCGCCGTAGCACCGTCGTCAATTTCACCGGAATAATGAACCGGAATCAGAAGCTCACGATCTCTTTCTCGGCTTGCCATCATCACATTCGCTGGTTCGCCCATCAAAATCCCTCCACCGAAAAGAACCCACCCAAGGGGAAACAAAAAAGAGGGAAAGGAATCGATCCCCTTGAACGAAGCAGCAGCGACGAAGATGAGTGAGAAGAATCGAACTCGAAGGAAGACTCAGGAGTGAAAGCTTCGAACGGAGAAGAAAATCTCCCAAAGCTGACTCTCTTCTCGGCGGTCGGTCGGAGTTTAGAGAGCGAGAGATTATTTTAAATGTTAATTATGATTCTAAAAATTATATATGTTTACTAATATATATATAAAAAAAGATTAATGAAAACATTACAATAGATTTGAATCAAGATATTCAAAAACTATATCGAACCCGAGATTTACAATCTTAAACCCACGTGTAATTTCGTCCTGTGTAGTGTATGTATAGCTCTGGAGCTAAGAACTGTAATGGTTTTTCTTCTTCTCCTCTTTTCCATTGAAGAAGAAAACCCTTTTTTGCTAAAGACTTCTCTGTCCAAAGAATCAAATCCCTTGGAAGGAAGACGAATGGAATCAGTTACTATACTCTCTTTGACCCTTTCTCCTATCTTCTTCTTCTTTCTCCAGTGATCAATGCCTCTCTTTAGGGCTCCTAAAGCCGTTCAAATTCTCGAGCTTTTCCAGGTACGAGAATTTCTTAGGCGTCAGGTTCGGCGATTTCGGGGGCTTCTCGGATTTCTGGCACTCGGAATCGGCTGTCGCGGCTTTCGGATTGTCGATGTTCCAGCCCATGAAATCCAGCAACGTTTTCGAGTACTGGGTCTCGAGCTTTTCGGATTCTTCCCCCGAGTTTGAGGATCTCGCGGATTCCGAATCCGTTTCTGTTCTTCCAGCTTCTGACGTTTCCTCGGCCGAGGACTGCTTCTGAGCCAAGGAATCCGCGTAAATCACGTCCTCGATTCTCGACATTACCGTGTAGGCCAGGCTTTCCAGTATCCTCGAGTAACTCTCAAGAACTGCTTGCCCGATATCCTGCAGATGATGACGAAAACTGCATCATTTTCCGACACAAAAACTCGGGTACCCCGAAAATCTCGGGGAAAGATTCGGACATTTTCAGATACCTTGTTGAACTGAATCTTGGAAATGTCGAGTGCGGATTGAGGCAGACCAGGGAACTGCTGTTTGAGCAAGACTAAGATCGTTTCGGCCCTCTCTTCGAACAACTCTCGTTTCTCCAAACTTACGGCCGATCCCCACGGAGATTTGCTGTCCTTTAGGTGAAGTTTCCTCTTCCAGATCACTACCGACGCCTCGATCTTGTTCTTCAGATCCAACACTTTGTGTTCTGTCGACAAGTCTATCGCCGACAAGAACTGTTCCGGATCGAACCACTCCTCTGTTATGCTCTTGTAGATCGTGTCCCCGAGACTCGCTC